ATGCTGTCTGGGCTGATCTTCTGATTTTTAATGCAAGCCAGAAATTGGAATTTTTATATTAATAATAAACCTCCCAATATTTAAATGTTGGCTTCTAATCAAAACAGGCAGACTGTGTAGCAGCACTCTCAGTGGAACTTTCTATGATGTTTATACTGTTCTGTATCTGCACTGTCCAGTGGCCATGGGCTATTGAGTACTTGCAATGTGACTAGGGTAACTGAGGAATGGAATTTGTAAGTTTGTATTATTTTAATTAATTTAAATAGCTACATGTGCCTCCTGGGCCCTGAATTGGACAGCATTTATTATTTAAGAGTATGAATTCCAGCCTGTCGGAGTTGAAATCCCAGCTCTACCACTTCCTGTGTGATGTTGAGCAAGTTACTTCACTCTCAGTGCCTCAGTTTCCACATTTATAAAAGAATAATAATGGTACCTACCCCACAGTAGGTTTGAGGGCTGAATTAGGCACTCTATGTAGGTACTCAAATAGTAGTTGTGAATTTTGGGCAAGGCACCGTTCTGCCTCAGTTTCCTCATCTGTAAAATGGAGTTAATGATAGGACCTATCTTACTAGAGTGGTTATGTGGCTTAAATGGGACAATTCCTATTCAAACTATATGTATACTCACATGGGGCTTGTTACCAGGCCATACTGGTTATTCACAGATTGAAATAACCTGTACAGTTTGGCAGCCTCTCCAGCCGGCATTTAGTGCTAGTACCAGTTAAATATTTTAGAAAGACCTTCTCTGGTGGTGTTTATAGTAATTAAAATGTATTTGAAACTGTGTGGGCCAGGTTGAACTTCTGAACTCTAGATTTTTAAAGAAGCACACAGATGTCTACTAAGAATTAAGATATGCACCCCCAACCCTAAGTGTACTGTCTATAACGCAGGGAATGGTTTCTTGATATCCCTAGGACCTCTGCAGGATTGAGGGAGGGGCTGCAGGGTTTTTTTGCACATATCTTTGAGAATTGGAGACTGTCTTAACCAAAAGCAAAGGTGGAGACTGAGGCTTATGTGTTTGGGCAATGTGATCCTGGAGAGTGAGTGGAGGACAGAGGAAGAGCCACCACAAGTGTGTGTGTTTGCCTACCACATGGGTGACACAGTCCCACAGAACCTGAGGAGCCTTTTGAAATGTAACTCAGATCTGTCTACCCACATGGAATGAAAGAAGAAAGTGTGTTTGCCAATTGGCCCCTGTCCACCAGTGGTCAAGTAGCCTCTGGGGATTAAGGCTCTGGCACTGGCTGGCCCATGCTTCAGTGCCCAGTGGGCCCCCTAGGCCTTTCCTCAATCTTGGTGCTGGCTGAGGTATGGTGCTGTCTGTGAGGCCACACCTGCTCGAGGCTGGAGGGCAAGAGGGGAGGAGAGGTGTAGACTTAGGCACAGGTGGCTTCTGAGACTGCTTACGTTACATGGCCTACTAGACAGTGATGGCGAACCTATGACGCGTGTCAGAGGTGACACGCAAACTCATTTTTTTGGTTGATTTTTCTTTGTTAAATGGCATTTAAATATATAAAATAAATATCAAAAATATAAGTCTTTGTTTTACTATGGTTGCAAATATCAAAAAATTTCTATATGTTACATGGCACCAGAGTTAAGTTAGGGTTTTTCAAAATGCTGACACGCCGAGCTCAAAAGGTTCGCCATCACTGGCCTAGGATGTTTTCCTTAAATGCTTTAGGGCTGCATCATGGCACATCTGAAAGGCAGGATTGGGTTAGTGTTAAGGCATAACCCCAACAGGGTCTGAATTCCCATGTCATATCATTCACAAGCCTATGATCCTGGACAAGGTCTCACGCTTCTCACTTTCCTCATAAGAGGTTAATAATGCCTCCATCATTCATTCATTCACTGTTTCCTAAGCACCAACTGCCAGGCCTCGTTCCAGAAGCTAGAGCGCATCAGTGAACAAATTAAATTCTGACCTCGTGGAACTGATCTCATGGAGAAGACACGATGGTTAGATATTTCTTGGGGTAATAAATGGATTAAGAAAAACAGCCCTGGCTGGTGTGGCTCAGTTGGATGGGTATTGTTCCGTGCAAGGAAGGCTTGCTGGTTCAATTCCCCGTCAGGGCCTGGGTTGCAGGCTCAATCTCTGGGAGGAGGGAGGGCATGCAGGAGGCAGCCGATCAATGTTTCACTCTCCCATTAATGTTTCTCTCCCTTCATCTCTAAAAATTAAATGATGCTTTAAAAAAAAGAAAAGAAAAACTATGGTGGGAAGGAATGTTTTGGGGCCTTGGTCTGCTTTTTTACATGGGATAGAATAGTCAGGGAAGGACTTGGGATAGTGTATTTGAGCTGAGACCAAAATGAGGAAAGCCATGGAGATACCCTAAGTGTGCCAGGCCTGGCCACCTTACGGTCTTTGCACTTGCTGTTCTGCCATGAATGTTTCTTCCCCCAGATTAGTGGTCGGCAAATAGCAGCTCGAGAGTCACATGTGGCTGTTTGGCCCCTTGAGTGTGGCTCTTCCACAAAATACTGACTTCTGCGCATGGGCCACGAAGTTTCAATAGCACTGTACATGCGCACCTGCACATGGTATTTCGTGGAAGAGCCACACTCAAGGGGCCAAAGAGCCACATGTTTCTCTTGAGCCGCAGTTTGCGAACCACTGCCACAGATCCATATGGCTTACTCCCCTCCTTTAGATCTTTGCTCACATGGCACCTCAGCATGACATTCTGTAGGCACTTAAGGAAAAGTCCTGAGTAGCCAAAAAGACACTTAGAAATCCCTTAAAGTACTTCACACAGACGTGAGAGGATTCATGTGCAACACTGTCATGCCTGGCACAGACCTCAATAAAGGCTGGCTATTTTTACATGTTTAAAATTTTGGAGAAGTCAGACCTGGAATCTGTTACCCTCCTAAGTTATTATCCAGGGCAGGAATTTGCCTTCTCTCACTGCTGGTTCTAATGGTTGTCCAAATTCCATTTGATGGGAAGCTCCCTCCACCTACCCCAGTACAGGGCCCAATTTGCTTCCCAGTAATTGGTCCATGAGGCCTGGCACTAACTGGGGCCACAGAACCTGTTTGAGTAGTGGGGATGTGGAAAGGAGGGCCTCAAATGTTAATCTTGAAGTATTTTAAAGGCACTGGGGAACCATGGAAGATTCTATGCAGGAGAGTGACATGGTGTGTGCTAAGAGACCCCAGAGGTCAGGATTGGGATAGAGCAGCGGTTCTCAACCTGTGGGTCGCGACCCCTTTGAGGGTTGAACGACCCTTTCACAGGGGTCGCCTAAGACCATCAGAAAACACATATAATTACATATTGTTTTTCTGATTAATCACTATGCTTTAATTATGTTCAGTTTGTAACAATGGAAATATCAGATATTTATGATTCATAACAGTAGCAAAATTACAGTTATGAAGTAGCAATGAAAATAATTTTATGGTTGGGGGTCACCACAACATGAGGAACTGTATTAAAGGGTCGCGGCATTAGGAAGGTTGAGAACCACTGGGATAGAGGAATTACAGGAAGCTGGGAACTCAGAGGAGGTGCCTGACCTTGGAATGTAAGGGAAGGCCTCCCACAGGAGGTAAACTTTGGTGAGAATATAACAGGGAAGGAAAACCTGTGCAGAGGAACCTAGGATGTTCCGTACAATTTGATTATGGCCGTGTACTCAAAACTCAAGTCCTCATGATTAAAAAAAAACCTCTGGGTTGAGTTATTTCATTCATTAAAAATTAAGAACTTATTGTCTGCCTGACTGCTGGGCTATGCTTTACTCTATCTTCATTTTAAAAGAAAAAAATATATAAATTGAACCTGTATTTTCTACTATAATTATTAGCCTCTAAGTATTAAAATTTTTATTTTGGGGGGGGAAAAGTTTACTCCACCTAAAGGGCTTTGCTCAGCACCTGGCACAGAGTGAGTGGGCTGGACCACCTGCTCTTGGAATACTAATGGATTTCTGGAGGACCCTGAGGTTCCCTCCCCGCCCCCCAAAACAAACAAGCAAAAAAACACACACACACACACCATTCATCCTGGAGTGAGGTATAGGGCCTTTGATGTGAAGATGGAATTTCCTGCCCATTTGCTCCTCACACCTTCCGGAGGCCAAACGGGCAACCCAGCTGTAGCCCAAAGGGGGAGGGGCGCGGGGGCCCGGCAGATGGTGGCATTTACATACAGCTGGGAGTCCCCCCTGAGACCAGGGCTCCTCGCCCTGGCGTCTGCTGCATCCATGATGTGGGTTTGGGAGGATGGCTTTGTCTTGGGGAGGGGAAAACACAGCCACAAAGAACCCCGGGTCTTCATCATAACCACATGAGGCTATGCCCATGGACCTCCCACACTCAAGTCTCCGCACGACCTTGTACAGACCTTCTCCCACCCGCTCCACTCGGCTGCCTAGAGGCACCTGCACAGACCACAGGTCCATATCGACAACACCCAGTGGTCCAGTATCTCACAAATACTCTTACACATGCACAGAGGTGCGGCCACACATTCTCAGTCACACAATCCTGAAGTCACATACACCTCCATTCTCTTCTTATGTAGATGCTGGCGCGCGTGCCTGTGCACACACACATTGAATCTTAGAATTATTTACAGCCTCACAAACAGGCTTAACATACAATTTGAGACACACGTGGAGCCACATAATCTCACCTAGACACACTATCACAAAGTCATGGATACCCTCCAGCAGCTCTTGCACACATTCACATTCACATTCACATTCACGTAATCTTACCATAGACAGCCCCTAAACCTACCCCATCCTTAGCCACACACATACACCCTCACTACATTGCCTGTACCCACCAGACAAACTTACGGTTGTTCCAGCATGCTCCCCTTCCCCTCGACCTCCTCCCCTCGGGCCCCCTCGAGCCCCCTGGAGCCCCGTAGCGCTTGAAGGGGCGGAGCCGTCTCCTCAAATATAAGGCTCCGGAGCCAGCAGCTGCGGCTCCTCAGACCTCCAAAAGGCCATGGTCGGCCCGTGGCTGCCTCAACTCCTGTCCCGGGCGGTGATCCTGGCGCTCTTTTTCCTTCCCCAGGTGAGAGCGGAGTGGAAAGGGATGGATGGGAGGGGCGAGAACCGTAGGTCTTGGGGAAGGGGTGCAGGGCGAACAGGACACCCGGGTACCCGCGGTCCAGTCACCCTGTGCCCCTTAACTCTCCAGGCACGGCCGGCAGGCGTTTTCGAGCTTCAGATTCACTCTTTCCGGCCGGGACCAGGTCCAGGGGCCCCCAGGTCTCCCTGCAGTGCCGGGGGCCCCTGCCGCCTCTTCTTCAGAGTCTGCCTGAAGCCAGGGATCCCAAAGGAGGCCGCGGAGTCTCCGTGCGCTGTGGGCGCGGCGCTGAGTGCGCGTGGACCGGTCTACACCAAACTGTCCCGGGCTCCAGCTCCTGACTTGCCGCTGCCGGACGGCCTGATGCGCGTGCCCTTCCGGGACGCCTGGCCGGTGAGACCCGGCCCCGGGGGCACCCTCGTGCTGGAGTCCTTACCCAAACCTTGACCCCTTTCTGTCCTCCAACTTCCAAGGCCCCAACCCTCCCCCTCAATCCAAATTCCCATACCAGTAAGTCTACCATCTGGAAAAACCCTTTCTCAGACTCATAAACCCGACTTACTGACGATCCCAACTTTTCTGACTCTAATTTGCCCTCTAGGTATACAAAATGTTATAATCCCAGCCCTGCATGCTTGGGACCCCGAATTCCTGCCCCCACCCCAACTCAACCTCTGGAAAGAATAAATGCACAGAACTTTGCCTCTGTTCCCTGGGGATCTCTAAATGCTGGGATTCTTATCTTTATCTCCAGTTTCCTTGCACCTAGGGACCCTCACACCCTGTCTTGGGGACCCCCCCCCAAACTCGTCTCACTTTATCCTTTCTCAGATATTCCAATTGGGGCCTGTATTCATGACTCTTTCACCTCCAAAATCCTCTCTCCCATCCCACAACCCCAAAAGCACAGAGGTGAACAAACCTGTATTTGAAGTCTAAGACCCTTGTTCTTTTGGGCAAGTGACTTTTCCTTTTCTACAGTTTTACAGTTTCCTCATCTGTAAAATGGGGACATCATGGTACCTCACAAGGGTCCCTGTTGAGGGATTCAACCAGGTTATCTTAAATATAGTCCTCACCACTTACTAAATGCTCAATAAAGGAAGCCAAAACTGCCATTCCTTCCCTGAGCCAGCCCCTCTGGAAGCTGTCCGTTGCCTGCCTGGTGCCTGGAATGGTCATTACCCCTAAACCCTGGCCTTCATCAAGTACTCGTCCTGCCCACTGTTTTTCATTCTTTCCTCTCACCCTTCCAGGGCACCTTCTCTCTCATCATTGAAACCTGGAGAGAAGAGTTAGGAGAGCAGGTTGGAGGTGAGTGTCTTCAGTCTTGGGATTACTGTGTAGAATGTGGGAATTGGGGTCCAACGTGAGTGACCTGGGCTGTCTGCAGGGTGGTTTTCACAGGATTGCTGGACCCATGATGTCATCACAGCTCTTGGAGGGTGGTGCTGGGTGTTGACAGCTCCAGGGCTCTTGCCATGTCCATACAGAAATGTCCTGGTACTGGATGTAGGAGTCTGTGGTCCCAATAGTGAAAGATAGGAACACTTACTATCTTGGAATTAAAGCCACCAGAGCAGGATAGAGAAGCTCACAGTGACAGTACTGCTCTGCCACCATTTGATTTTGAGAACCAAGGGTACATTACTTTTGGTTCTTGTACACAAAGCTCTGTCACTGTGTCCATATAGAGGTCCCAGGGAGCATGGGATGCTGCGGTTTTATCAGAATATTGAGCAAAGGTTTCAGGGAGGGATATAGGTGATCTTATCCTTAATTTGAGGGGATTTTGGTGTCATGTAAAGCCCATGTGGGTGTTGTCATCATTTAAAAAATATTTTTTTAAATTGATTTTAGAGGGGAAGGGAGAGGGAGACATAGAAACATCAATGATGATGAGAGAGAATCATTGATCGGCTGCATGTCCTCTATTGGGGATCGAGCCCACAACCCAGGCATGTGCCCTTGACCAGAATTGAACCCGGGATCCTTCAGTCTGCAGGTTGACACTCTAGCCACTGAGCCAAACCAGCTAGGGTGATGTTGTCATCATTTTGATATAGAAAGCTGTGGCACAATATTGGAGTGTGACAGCCTTGATGAGGAGAAACTGCTACTCTCCCAGTATTTCCAAGGCCTCAAGCAATAAGGGTAATTTATGATTTAGTAAGTGGGGTCTCTGTCACCATTTTCACATAGGAAGATCCAGAGGCACAATTTGGGGATATTATGACCTCACTTCAAAAGACCCGTTATTTTCCCTTGGCCATATAGAGATATAAATGCCACCGGGTGTTAGAGGTCTCATCACTAAAATACAAAGATTGTGGGGCAGCACTAGCCGGTTTGGCTCAGTGGACAGAACCTTGACTTGCTCACCAAAGGATCCCGGGTTCGATTCTGGTCAAGGGCACATGCCTAGCTTTGGTTGCAGGCTCCTTCTCAGCCCTGGCCCTGGTCAGGGTGCATGCAGGAGGCTACCAATCGATGTGTTTTTCTCACATCAGTGTTTCTCTCTGTCTTTCCCTCTCTCTTCCACTCTCTAAAAAACAACAACAAACAAACCCAATGGGAAAAATAGTGAGGATTAACCACAAACAACACACACACACACACACACACACACACACACACACATACATCATGGTGCAAAACATTGGGGTATTTTGGCTTCTATGGAAGAGCTGTGATCATAGTGATGGTCACTGGATACTAGATGGGACTGTGACTTCAGGGGTCTCAGGGCGCAGTAGGGGGGTTCACCGCGCTGCTAAGGGGTAACTGCCATTCTCAGGGTTGGAATGGGGTGTTAGGGCCTCGCTAAGAGGGGCAGGAAGAGTGCGAGCAGGCGCGCTACGGCTCTATCGCGAGACTGAGTGCGCCGCCATCTGGCCGGGCGATCCAGCGTCGCTCCCTTCTTCCCGCAGGGCCCAC